GCTTTGGCGTTATCACGGTCCAGGACACTTCAGTTGGGACGAAGTGGACCACAGAACAAATGACGCTGCTGAAGACGTGCCACCTGAAGAAGGAACTCTACTCAGTTTTGAGAAGGGAAACAGTGAAACTCTTGATGAAGTTACTACCACTGATGTGACTGTTACCGATGATAGGACATTTCCTGATGAAGTAGATGAACCCCACGTGAAGCAGAAGCCAACGAGACGGAGACCAGTACGGAAGAAGATACGTCCCGTAAAATTAAGAGACTTTGTTGAATTGTAATTTTGTGTTTGTAATTCTGTACATTTTAATTAAGTTATTGTTATTGGGTTTATTGTATGTGGTTATTGTTCGGGACGAACAATATTAAGGAGGGGGCAGTGTTGCGTCAGCGAGTCACATGACTAGTGTGACGCCACGTTTCTAGAACTATCCCGTACCTTGGCGAATGCTCTAGTATTTACTAGATATAGGGTAGTCTGGTATATAAAAGAGGGTAACAACGTGACAGGAGAATAATGTAATGTGTGTGTGAAGGTAGTGAGTAATTGAATTGCAGTGAGAAGTATTATTGACGTTCGTTGATATAGCGTTTGTTTTAGCGCGATTGTTGAAAATAAGTGTATCGTAAAGTTGTATTCGGAAAGAATAAACCAGTTTTATTAAGTAAAGAACTTGTGTCGCTAAAGTTTCGTCGGAATGAAGTTACGGAAAGTTAATTAACAAACGGAGGCGTAACAATATATTAGCATACTTTTAGCAAAATCAGATCTGAAGTTTTTGAATTGGTAAATGTGTAAATAGATACATTGACTAAAGTGCTGTTTTTGCCAATAGTTACAATACAGTTATTAAATCTGTTGACTATACCAACAGATATTTATTTCAGAAATAATAAGCCTTTTATTACTTTCCATAGTTTAGAATCTTACTGTATTCTGGATTAAAACAAGGCAAAATAGTATTCAAAGTACACTGATAAAGCCACAAAGACAATGAAAGAAGATAACACTAGTAGATTGTAGATTTCTATGTACTTTAAAAATATTTGTTTTGTTTGTAACTCAAGGATGCTCCAAGTAAAGCTGTATATAAGTCAATTTTTGCATCTAGTTGTTCTTGGCATAGGTATTAAGTAATAGTTCAAAGTGTGATTTATGCATTTATCTTGTATCTAGCCAAGTAAAAGAAAAGTTCTTTCTTAAAATAATTCTCACAACTTTACATTTGTTGAGTAAAATCTTTAAAACACTAAATAACCCTTGTATTTAAATCATAATAATTACAATATTTATTTTATGCTTGTCATAGTTATTTTGTAACAATTTATACTCTATTGTGTATCAGTTTGACTTGTAGCTTTATAAGTTTATTTTATTTTTATTAGAGTAAATATTTATAAGAAAGTGTAGTTTCTTTATACTGAATTTACTGGCTCATTTTTATTTTGTTTGAGATTTCAATAGCAAGACTGTTTATACTTTGATAAAGAGAATATAATCTTGATTTATAAAAGGACACATAAGTAATTCAACAGAGAGTGTACCTTAGTCATAAAAAGTGCACATATTCTCCATAAAAAATAAATTTGCAAGGTATATTTCTTTATGTGATTGACAAAAAAAATGTTAATAAAACACCCAACAGTTGGAATCTGTAGTGTTTTTATAATAGGATGCTGCTCCAAATGACCACTGTATTTAAAAAGCTTAGGTGTTCCTGGAACCTTCTAGTTTTTTCTTTTCTTTTGTCTCACCATTTTGTTTTCTTTCTGGCTGTGTTGCTGTTGTGTACAGTTTAAAAGCATTATGGTCAACTACAACAGAGGTCTCCAAACTACGGGCCGCATTCAGCTCACCAACAGTTTATTAAAGTAATAATATAATTTTTTAGTATTATAAAAACAAAAAATAAAACTTAATTGAGCAAAAGCCAATCTAGTTACGATACAGCCCACCAACAGTTTATTAAAGTAATAATATAATTTTTTAGTATTATAAAAACAAAAAATAAAACTTAATTGAGCAAAAGCCAATCTAGTTACGACACAGCCCACCAACAGTTCATTAAAGTAATAAAATGTTTCATGATTGTTCATCTTAAATATTTTCAATATGTGCTCTTATGAGAAATAATATGAGAGTGATGTTGTATTCTGATCATGTATGCATCCCTTCTTAATTTTACCACGACCCACCTGGCCCACGAAGCCTAAAAAGAACCCATCTCCCGGCCCATGTCCAAAAAGGTTTGGAGACCCCTGAACTACAACAAAGAGTAACATCAAGAGCTTCATTTGTGCTTGTATCAAATGGTCATCTGATGTCTAATGATTCTCAACTCTGGTGATTATTTTGAAAGATTTTATTTTTAATAATGAAACTGATTTTATTTCAAATTAAAATCTTAAATCATATTTATTATTTTCAGTGTTTATTAATCCTACCAAGATGGGTCTGACAGTCTTCATATGGCCACAGGTCAAAGGCCATGTCGTCATGTTTGTAGACTTACATTCAAAATCTTATTGAACTACTATTTTATGAATGTGTGTCAGTAACTTTGGTATCAAATTCTAGATTATAATTCAAATTTTAGTATTATACATTAGTTAATGTCTTAATTTAAAAGTGAATATTTTTTTTTAAATCCTAAATATCAATATTTGTGTGTCATGTGGTATATTGAATGAAGTATTGGTTCAAATTAAGCGTTTGTGATGTCCAAATACAAAGTTTATAGTTGATTATGAATTAGAAACTCAAATTACCAATATTGGCA